TTCGTTGAAGCGAACTTCGTTGTGCCGGGATTCGACTGTAGCTGCAAAAGAATGTCTTTTTCGTCCTTGTCCAGGCAAGTGTCCTTGCACCGATCCATTGTCATCGCCACAGGCAGATATGTGCGGCAAGATGCTTCAGCCATTGTATTCTCGTATTGCGACAAAGCCGCCTTACAGGCTCTGCAATGATCTCAAATTTATTGACTCAAGAATACTGGTTTCAACATGGCGATGACAGATGTGGCCGAGGTGGGGGCTCAATCAATGCCGTTTTTGGACCCGAAATTCTGGCCAGAAATCCGAAAGCTCAGACGCCGAAGGTTTTTAGCATACAAAATTTCAGATATTCTTATTTATTGACATTTACGAAACAATTTCGAATTGGGCAGTTGAAGTAAGCCCACCCCAGTCTATGTCAGTTGGGCTTGCACAGATGTTGGACGAGGAAAGAGCCTGAGAAAATAACGACTCTGCCTTTCATGAGTAAAGTGTTGTCAGCAACACTTCTCTTGCACCAAATCATGTACAGACGGGACCACTGGTAAAGGGAACACTTCCGTGCACAACATGTTTAGATTTCACTCTCTTGCAGAAGCATAATGACTTTAGATTTACATAAATCTGCCGATGAATGACAGTTCTGACTTCTTTTGTCACACCAGTGCCATGTATCAACATTGTTTCCTTGTCCACTTGCTGTTAGGGGGCCTGCAATATGAACGTTGCTAATTGTAGTGTTCCCTTTAACAGTAGACCGTACTGTACATAAACACAATTCGGCCTCTGCACCGACTCATTCTTGATATAACCACTATGAAACACCTCTCCTACCATGCTTATCAACCTAGCCAAAGGAAACATTTTCATATTGCTATTTTATAAAAAAATATCCTTAGGAATCACTGCCAATATTTTTTTCTGCAATTTCACTTTGAAGTATGAAAATTATTCGATTCAATTCGCACTCACACTTCATATACGAGAGAGGAAGCTTAGGCTAGTTGGTGCGTTGTCAGATTCGCAGTTTTTTCAGCGCGCGAACATAGAAAAAAAGGACAGGGTAGACAGAAAGAGCGCTGACTTTCAGATAACTTTATTTCACAGAGGGGCAAAGGTTGATTACAGAACATTAAGATAAAATACAAGCCTAATCAATGTGTCAGTATCAAAGCACGTGTGAGGGGTCCTTTATTGCCTCAAAGCCCAGCCAGGTAATCACGTTCTGCCTGTGGTAAAGCAACCAGTGAGGTGCTTACGCATTTATCATCTAGCGAGTGTACTTTTTCAGCTTCAATAATTTTTCGGGTAAGCTGATTCCTATGCCTTGCCAATATAGAGCACTGATCAAAGAGGGAGGTGCACCCACAATTTGGGCAATGAATGCTAAGGTGCTCTTGTACCACACTGTGCACATTGTTTCGGTGTTCTCGGAGGCAGTCATTTATGCACCTGCCGGTTTGGCCGACGTAGATGCACCCACACGTCAGTAGAATCAAGTATACGACTCCCACTGCGCATGGAACGTAGCATGTCCTGTGCACGACAGAGCACAAGGCACAATTTGCACGAGGTGCATTGACCCTTCGCAAAGCCTCTGCAATTTTTCCGATGCAGAAAAAACCACAAGAACAGCAATCTTTTTTTAGCCTGTGTGAGACGTCGTGCACGTAAGGTCGGCTCTTCTGACACTGTTTCGCTTATCCGGTTTGTCGCCTTGCTTCACGACAGTGACCAGCTTTTCTGCCACCGAAGGAGAACATGCACGGGGTAACCAGCTTTGGTGTACCATGTGGGGGCAGGACTTCTTTAAGGCGTTGGCAAGGCAGAGGTTATCAATGCTCCGCTTGACCAATTTTTAGTGAGCTGAGCTGAAAGGCAAAAGTGGCTTGCCACTTCTTGGTTCATACATTCAGCAAACATGCGAGGACCCTAGCAAAAGCTTGAAATCTAAATATTTCAGGTTGTTATCAGTGGGTGATTCATACGTTCGAACAAGTGGTTTCAGGCACTAGGCACTCTCGGAAACAGTTAAAACGTCAGAAGAAAAGGCCTGGAATATTCAACTATCTCATTCAGCAACACAAATAATTGTCAACAAAATTGTCAAGCTTGTTTGACAAGACACGATCATGATATGCTAGAAATATGTCACTGAGAATGGGTGCCAAACATCAATCAATACATACTCCACTTTTTTGTAGGTAGTTTTTTTCATCCCGTAATACAAAGGTGGCCTTCAAATAAAAACTAAGTAATTCTAACAGGCTGCTGTTATGGATTCCGGTACGCGTTTGAAACGCCGATGATCCGAAGCTTTCTATGGATTCCTCTACACATTTAAGTAGTTGGTCATGCGGTAAAGAGTGAAATAAGTCCTTTATATCCACAGACACTGCCTATAGAGTGTTAGTTTGCCCAAGAGTGTCAATGACAGCGCCAGAGTTTTTGACCAAAAAAGGGGTCGTCTATTCTTATATTTTTGAGCTTTTCCTGCAAGAAAAGTGCTACCGACTTTTGCCAGGCCCCCCTTTCTGTTACTATGACCCACAATGGGCTGTCAATTTTGTGGGTTTTCGCTGAAAAAAACAGGTCAAGGCTAAGCTTTTTGGAACTATCTATCGCCTCTGAAAGCTTTTGAAATCCCAGGGCCCCGGTAAGAGTTTTTGCAGGCTTCTTAAGCTTAACCAGACAAATCTTATCTTTCTGGTTGAAAACAGACTTCATTGTCTGTACAGCTTTCACCTTCAACATTGAACGACGAAGAGCCGCAAGTCCACCTTCTCTGTCAGCCGGCAGAAGTGACAAGGAATGTGCCTTTAGGTACACGACAGTGCTTCCTGTATTGATAACTTTGTTCGAAGGCTTACATCTCGAAAGCACTGGAATCCATAACAGCAGCCTGGTAGAATTACTCAGTTTTTATTTGAAGGCCACCTTTGTACCATGGGATGACAAAACTACCTACAAAAAAGTGGAGTACATAATGGTTCATGTTTTCTCAGCGACATATTTCTAGCACATCATGATCGTGTCTTGTCAAACAAGCTTGACAACTCTATAGTTTTTATAGTTTGCCGTTTTGTTGACAATTATTTGAGTTGCTGAAATGTGATAGTCGAAAATTCGAGCCCTTTACTTCTGACGTTTTGACTGGTTTCCGAGAGTGCCTGAGACCACTCGTTCGAACGTATGAATCACCCTGATAATGACCTGAAATTTTTAGATTTGAAGCTTTTGATAGGATCCTCGCACGTTTGCTGGATGTATGAACCAAGAAGCGGCAAGCCACTTTGCCTTTTAGCTCAGCTCACTAAAAATTGGTCAAGCGGAGCATTGATAACCTCTGCCTTGCCAACGCCGTAAAGAAGTCCTGCCCCCACATGGTACACCTCAGTTTTGCTCTACAAGTGGAGCATCTGACCCCGCACATCTTCTCGTTTCGGTGGCAGAAAAGCTGGTTACTGTCGTGAAGCGAGGCGACAAACCGGATAAGCGCAACAGAGCCAAAAAGATTGGCCTGTCGTACTGTTTTATGTGCCCGATGTCTCACACAGGCTAAAAAAGATTGCTCGAGCCGCCAACGTTCTTGTGGTTTTTTCTGCACCGGAACAATTGCAGAAACTTTGCAAACGGGTTACTACACCTCGTGCAAACTTTGCCCCGTGCTCGGTTGCGCACAGGTTACATTACGTCGCACGCGCAGTGGGAGTCGTCTACTGGATTCCACTGACATGTGAGTGCGTCTATGTCGGCCAAATCGGCAGGTGCATAAATGACCGCCCTGAGAACACCAAAACAATGTGCACAATGTGGTACAAGGGCACCCTGGCATTCATTGCCAAGATTGTCGGTGCACCCCCTCTTTGATCAGTGCTCTATATTGGCAAGGCATAGGAATCAGCTTACCCGAGAAATTATTGAAGCCAAAAAGTACACTCGCTAGGTGATGAATGCGTAGGCACCTCATCTCTTGCTTCATCACAGGCAGAACGTGATTACAGTAAAAGCTCGTTAATTCGAATTCCACGGGAACGCTGAGCAATTTCGAATTAAACAAAATTCAAAATAATGAAAGTGAGCAAAATGGGTGGATTTCGGGGGTGGGGGCACGAAAATATTTATTGGCCAAAAAGTCAGTGATGACCATCTGCTTCTTTTCTCTGAATGCCACAGCTGCGGCTCTCTGTTCCAGCGCGCGGACGCTGCGCAGAGAATCCTCTTCACCCTCTTCAAAGCTGAAGAAGAGACGCGCCACATTAAGTGCCTGCATCACCGCAGAAGCTGACGGGCGCACAGGCGCTTCGTCATTTTCGTCTTCCTCACCTTCTGGCTCTTCAGCATCAGGCTGCGCACCGGCTACTTGAGCGATAATGTCCTCATCAGTCAGGGCACCACACACCGATGCACCGGTGTCAACTTCAACATAATCGGCAAAACGTACGCCCCGAAGAGTGTCGCGCAATGCCACTGGCATGAGCTCCTATCCCGCCACTGGCACGTCACAACTATCCTGCGTACTTGCAGCTGCAAATCCACTGTGGCGGAAACAGTTTGCGATTGTGGTCGCGGTCACCTGTTCCCATGCGCGCACCAACATGTGCATGGCAGTGAGCAGCGTAATGCCGAAGTCCTTCCTGTCGCCGCGCACAAAATCATTCTCTCCAGCACATGACGCCTATAAAAGCACTTAATGTTCCTTATCATACCCTGGTCTATTGGCTGTAGGGCCGCAGTCGTATTTGCCAGAAGGAACACCAACTTAGTTGCTCTCAGCTCAACGTCGACTTTGTGCGCCGAACAGTTGTCGACGACAAGAAGAACGCGTCTGCCGCCCAGTTCCATTTGCCTGTCGAATTTCAGTAGCCACGTCCTGAATAGGTCACCTGTCATCCAGGCTTTCTTGTTTGCGACGTACTCCGTCGGCAGTGAGCGAATGTTTTTGAAGCACCGTGGCTTGAGTGCTTTGCCAATCACAAAAAGGGGGACCTTTTCCGTACCGGTCATATTTGCGGCGACCACAACAGTGACACCCTCTTGCTGCGCTTGCCGCCGGCACAGCTGTCTCCCTTGTAGGTGATCGTCTTGTCTGGCTGCAACTTGAAAAAGAACGCTGTCTCGCCAGCGTTAAACACATCCTGTGGTGAGTAGCTCTCCAAGTACTGCTGCAGGTTGTCGCTTTCTCCCAAGTCGCATGTTTCGCCGTCCACTTCCTTTGACTCGCCGGATAACGTGCGGAATACGGGATTGTGCCGCTCCCTGAAACGATGAAACCATCCCTCGGAGGCGACAAAGTCTTCAATGTTCAAGCACAGGGCGAAATCGGCTGCCTTGGCCACGATGATAGGGCCGCGCAATGCGATACTCTGGGCTCTCATTTCTTTAACCCAGATAATCAAGCTGACTCCAGTTCCGGGAACTTCGCTGTCGTTAGCCTTTTTCGACTGGCGCCAAAGTCCTCAGCTTCATAGGCGTTTTCAATGGCCGTCCTGTTGCAAATGTAGGTTGACAACGTGCTCGGAGGTATGCCGTGCTTCCTCGCAATTTCCTATTTGCTCGAGTTCCCTCGGTCAACCTTTCGCAAAATCTCCACCTTCTCCTTGACAGTCTTCGGCAGTAGTTTCCCCGCGGCATCTTGCAACTTCGTTGCGGAATAAGACGGCTTGACGGCGTGAACGAACGTGCTTGAGGAACAAAGTGACGCTGCAAGGAGCGGCCTAGGACTGCTAGGACTGCTCCGCCGACTCCTCAGCGTCCCGTGGGTCCCCCGTCCCGTGGGCGCCAGGCGCTAAGATAGCGAGAGGGCTACGGGAAAAAAAAAAAAAAAAAATTGCTCCCTGGATTTGGGGGGCCACACTTTGCTTGGAGGCCACTTGAAGCTCGAAAAAACTGGTCGTGCCACCTATCGTTCGACCGTAAAAGCTTCCACTAGTGTTTGACGATGATGACGCTCGGCGGCGCGCGCTTCGAATTATCCGTAGAGGCAAATTTCTGTTCGAATTAACGAATCGTTTTACCATGGTCTCCTATGCACTGCGGACCGGACTGCGACGCCATTTCGAATTATCCAAAATTTCGAATTAATGAGGTGTGAATTAACGAGCTTTCACTGTACCCCTGGGCTCTGAGGCAATAGAGGACTCGTCCACGTGCTTTGATACTGGCGCATTAATTAAGCTGTATTTTATCTTTGTGTTCTGTAATTATCCTTTTTTAGGCATACATATTCTTGCTAGTCTGTGAAATAAAGTTATTTGGAAGTCAGCGCTTTTTTTGTCTACCCTGTCCTTTCTTTCTATGTTCGCGCGCTGAAAAAACTTGCAAACTTTCCTATACGAATTCGCTCCGCAACCAAAATGTTGCTATCGCACAGCTCTATTACAAACTACTTCAGAGTATTGTAGCAAAAACTATTTAGGCTAGATGGTAATGATTAATTTTAAATGCAAAAGGTGGGGTGCAGTACAATACACGGTCTAGAAAGAGAATGTGTGCCAGTGTCATCATTCTCTTGTCTGGTCCCCGTTTCGCAGTGCCCCACTTTTTGCCTTTAGAATCCTTCAGTCCTCGAATGAGACTTTATTGTACAAAGAACTAAATGGAAAGATCAATAGGAGTCACAAGACAACGCGCTATAGTCCTGCACTAAAGGTACTTAAGTTGTAATGCCCTGATCAGGACACACACACTCACCATGCTGGTGGTGGTCCATGCTCATTGTGGAGGTGGACCCATGTTGGTGGCGGTGGGAAGCTCGGGTCAAAAGGGGGCCGGTAACCAGGTGGAGGAGGCCTCCCATCATAGGCCGCATCATTGGGGGTGGACCCCGACGCCCCATCATGCCTGGCGGAGGTGGACCCCGAAATCGTGGTGGTGGGCCCCGGGACCAAAGCTGTAATGGCAGACAGATTGCTTAACCCCTACAACACTTTTAACCAGCAGAGCTGTTTAATCTTGGCAAAACTCCATTGTGTCACATTAAATGTTCAGCGAGGAGGATCCACGTTAACAGAGGGGTGATCAACCCTTGCCATGTCACCGCATGTAATTCCAACAGGAACAAGAGGGGAACGAAAGGCAGGGATATTAACCAGTCTAAGGGACTGCTAAACTCCCTACCTTTCTGGTATTCTCTTTCTTTCTCTCTCTCTCTCTAGAGAGACTGGTATGCTACCCAACACTGGAGACAGGGATTAGGAGTTTGAAAGATGGAGAGAGGAAGAGAGGAAATCATGTAAATGACATGAATGTCATGATTTACATTTCATGGTCTTGCTGCTCTTGCATTGGTTTTAAACGTGACATGTCGCAAAACTGGTAGGTATGACACGATGCATGGCAAACATAATGACAGACCCAACATGGAATTATGACATGCATGACATGTAAGCCATGACTACATGCCACGCTCAATCATGAGATGCATGTCATGCAAGAACATGACTACATGCCAACGCTCATGATGCACTCGCGGCCATTTCGCTAGTTCCACATATACCAAATTTGGTATTACGCGAGGTGAATGAATGGCAAAGCTAAATGGCGCATCCAAAGAAGATAATCATAACAAGCATGTTGTAAAACATGACTACATCCAGGCTCATAGCGTGCTCGCGGCCGCTTCGCTATCTTCACATTTACCAATATGGTATCACGTCACGTGAATAGACAACGAAGGTAAACGACACGTCCAAAGATGATAATCATGACATGGAAATCATGTCCGGTATAATTTACGTCTGCCTTATAACATTGTGCTGATTTCGGGAGTGACATATCAACCGTCCTCATTCGTGCTTCGCATATCGATTCATACCATACGTGGGATCAGCCAAATTTTCGCCATTGCCATCTGTCCCGTATAAATACTTCAAATTGATAACATACCCCAACGCATCGCATCTTCTATCCACGAATAAAAGCACGCGAGCGGGGGTGACGAATGCAGTGAAGCAGAGATGAAACAGTGGGCCCATCTCCGCCGCTCGGAGGGTGTGTGCAATAACATCCAATGAGCCCGACCAAGAGGCCTGTAGTTAAGCAAAGGAAGAACTCCACCCGTCTTGGAAAGAGAATTAAAAAAAAACGAGGGAGGGGGACAGGTGTCGTTTGAGCAAAACTACGAATTTGTTTCTAAGGGCATGGTCGAGATCACTAGCGCGCACGCTAAATCGGCAGCCATCAACGGCGACTCGATTGTATACACTTCCACGTGCTGCACAATGATCACAAAGAAACTACACAAAAGTGTTGCTCTCCTCGAAGCAGCCGTATTCTCGTACCCAGAGTTTCATACAGTTACATCAGATCGAATCAAAAGAGTTAGCTGCCAGCCTCACCTTTTTATACCATTACAATTTATGCTATCGCATTCATTGTTTCACCCTTTATTGTGCGATTGTGACATGTTTGGTTATGTGCAGCCACCAACGTTTTTTTTTTCTTTTTTTTTACCTTAAACGCGCGAGAGTGAACCATCTAGTCAATAAGCGTGAATCACAGCAGCCAAATCAACGAGCGTACATACATACGCTCAATAAGCAGTCATGTGCACCTGTTTTTGCTAGCTTTTCCAGGACCGACACCACCCCCCTTTGTTTGAGCACTGTTGCTGCCATGATGGTGATGATGAAACTTTATTACCCAAAACGGGGTCCTGAAAGCACTCAGCTCCTTGATATCTTTTGCGGACGCTGCCATCATGTTATAAAAAAAAACACCATAATGGCTAAGCAATGAGTATGATAGCAACAAATTGTAAGGCTCAAATGATAAGTAGCAACAAATTGTAACTCTCTCAGATCTGATATCGTTACACTACACAACGCTGGTGTAAGATAATAGAGCCTTACCTGAGAGAAGAAATGGTCTTCTCCCAGTCTCTTCGCATTGAGAGCGCAGCACTGTAGAAGAGTTTCTGAGATATTCACGTTGATGCCTGCCATGATCGCGCACGCATAGAGATCACGACCACACCTTAGAATCAAAGTGCAAGGCTGCTCTGGAGCGATCATAGCCTTTATAAAACGAAAACTATAACTGTTTCTATGAAACCAAGAAGACAATGTTTCAGCCACATTTCCGGGCACGACGCTTGATGCTTTCGCACTTCGTGGCTAAATTCTGGTGCTACGGCGCAGTACGGCACTGATAGGTGAGTTTGACGTGGCAGTGGTAGTTTGGCGTAGGATGGCACTGGTAACAATTTGGCGCACAGTGGTACAAATGGCGCGGCTGTTCCACCCCTGCAGCTCACCAATAATCGCTGCATACTACCTGAAGGCCTCACGCCTACCAATGTGACCCTCGCTACGAATAATGAAGGGAACTTTACGGGCTCATTTATTAAGGCTCACTTACGAAATGGAAACTAATCCAAGTATAAAACTGGCCTGGAGTGGTTATGGCAGACATTCCCAATCATGATGCGCTATTCACCACTGTCCTAAAGCAAAGTGCACAACCACATACACTGCAAGTATTAACATATCAAGCAAAAACGTGGCAAAGAACCTCGAGAAGAACCACAGTGCGCAATGAAACAAAAATGGCAGGAGTAAAATGAAGAAATTGGAAGGCAGGGAATAAATGCCGTCGCCAAAATTCCAGCATTAAGAGCAGATCTGGGCAGGTTACATAACAGAAGGATAGATAACTGATGGTAGCATAATAACTGACGGGGTTTGACGTCCCAAAACCACATGAGAGACGCCATAGTGGAGGGCTCCAGAAATTCTGACCAGCTGGAGTTTTCTCACATGCACCTAAATCTAGTTACACGGGCCTCACATATTTTGGCTTCCATAGAAAATGATACCATTGTGGGCAGAATTTGATTTCATGACCACGGGTCAGCAGTTGAGCACCATAACCGCTAGACCACCATGGCGGATCAGCTGTGGCAACGGAATAGATACCAGAGATGGGAAATGTAGCCAAAAATTAGCTCTCAGGCATAAAATGGAAACCACAGATACGGTAAATTGGAGAAAGACCTGCAGAGGGCGTACAAGAGGCTGATGACGAATGTGCTGCTTTTGAGAACTCAAACCCGAGGTGTTCCGAGAACAAAATGGCATCCTCACTGCAGCTACACAATGTTGCTCTTTTTTACACAATGTGAAGGTTCAGGTAATAGGAAGCTTTTTATTCAAGTGTAGTATGCAGCCTATTTCCGAGACACTCCTATACAATTGAATGCTCCTGTTAATGAAACCAGGTAGTAAAAACAGTTCAGGTAACATTGCTAGGGTTTGGGAAAAGAGAGACGCCATAGTGGAGAACTGCACCAAATTTCAACGATCCGGGATCTTTAACGTGCCTCACATCGCACCATATACTGGCTCCAAGCATTTTAAAATCTGACTGCCGCTGAAGG